ATCAAACATGTTTGATATGATCTGGGTGGCCCCGATTTGTGTGCGAGCAGATCGGGAGGTGCAAGATTCGATCTGTGAACACCTCACATTACCAGATAATCCGTGCCGAACATCGGGACCGATCGAAGTGCTCGACAAGATTTTCGATCCGATTCTGAGGGGGAAATCGGGGCTAAATCGGGCTAAACATCCTGTAGTGTGAGCCCCGCTTTAGATCTTGAAAATAAATCAATGCAAAGATGTACGTTCATTAAAACTGTGAACTCTTGTCGCATCGCGTGTAGTTAGGATAACGACATGAGGGCGAGTACTTAATGACAGAGATTTTTGGGTGAACTATCCCTTTAAGGTTTCACAGCGGTAAAATGTATGAAAACATTTGAAAAAGCATAGAATATAAAATTTTGTCTTCATTCCGCAGGTTTTCTTTCCATTTTCCACCTGCTACGAGTTCAACAAGTACATGTAAATCAGATTCCCTGAGCACGCACTGAGTTTGCGTGCTCACGCTACTTATGCACGCGATCAGCCGAACCACAAAAGCAAAGGCCAATAGGCGTTTGCTTCCACAAATGATATGTAAAATTACACATTCTGGCGATTGTGGCTAAATTTGACGAAAGACGATGCGTTTGCACAACGGATAGCCTATTATTTTAAATATACAGTATGTAGGCTACAAGTCATTGGTGTTTGGTGATGAGTTTTTGAATCAAGGTCTGCATTTAAAGTCACACCAGAGGTGTTCAAACTGGGATTAGGACTTTGCTTTCAGCAGACCAGTCAAATTCTTCCACACTGACTGAATCAATCATTTATTTTTGAACCTTGCCTTACACACAGAGGCATTGCCATGTTAGAATTGAAAAGGGTCCTGTCCAAACTGTTGCTATAAAACTAGAAGCACACAATTCCCTATATACAGCCTATATAGGCCTATAAATAAATAAATAGATATAAATATGTCCTCTTCAGACTTTCTCCAAAGGATGGAGCTGAAGGTCAGTTCGAAACAGTCCTGTGTTCTCAATTTATTCTTAATCAAACAGATTTGTAAATTTTTATAGACATTTTTTTTTCTGATGGTGTAGATACATAATGAGTTGTACAGTGTGGTCAGGAAAAACATTAGTGATAAACTGGAGGAGGTGGCACCCACACATGGTAGAATAGCTCTAAATATCTTGAACAGATTAATTCAAAATGCTTCCTTGGTACACAAACCTTTATTTTGTCAGTTCTGTAGTTTCATCCTGGTACTCTAGAATTAGTGGCGTGATAAACAATGGGCTGTGTTAGTAATGACAACAATAAAGGGACATCCAGGATTTGGCCACTAATTGGTCCATTATGCGAGATCATTCCAGCTTCTCTTTCTCCCTCATCTTCTCTTCCGTCCATCTCTCCCTCTTACAGTTCTTTTGACTACAAACCCTCTGCAGACATAAATCAATTGAAGAATAATTTAATTGCACATTTAATTAGCATGTTGATTGCCGTGGTGCAATGCACCATAAATAAAAGCAGCGTTGAGCTTCTACTGTTGCTTGAGTGGACTGAATTGAGACGAAATGAGAAGACATTTCCTAGAATCTGATGTCCAGGGACAATTACGCAGGAAGAAACAATTTCCTCATGGATTGCATGCAATGCATCAGCCTGCAGCATATGCCATTGAATTAGAGTGACAGCACTCAATACATGCGTGCAAATGATTTATCATGGAGGCAATGTATGTGGCCACTTAGCTGCCCCAAGTTATTGCTTTTAACATTTAATGTGGCTGATAATGTGGTTGATGCTGTGAAAACATGCATATATTGGAATGTGTATCGGTGACCATGTTTATGTTGCATTAGTGGTCAATCCTGGAAGCAAATAATATCAGAGAATATATTTTCAAGTGCAGACTGTATCTATGCCATGTTATAACAGTATTAAATGCTGTTACTGTAAAGTACAGGCAAAAAAGTTTGGATTCATAAACCACATCAGTTTTTACTATTACTGTACATAACTATTACCTAATTATGGGAGCATTCTTACATATAAATGGTGTATTTAAAAAAAAACAGAATTCAACTATTCACATAGTAGTGCCATATAGTTAACATAAATCAAAATAAAACAAATTTAAAAAGATATTTTGCACAAAGTAAATGAAGCCCGTTTTTAGGGCCATTAAAGCTTTTGCATTATTTTCATAACAATTAAACATATTTCCCCCAGGTCCCATCACTGTAATGTGTATAGAACCTTTTTTTTGTTTTATTCCCATTTTTCTTAATGTTGTTACAGTATTATGGTTTGTTTTCAGCATGTTACAATAAAAATCATATATAATCTATTTTGCATTAGAGTTGTGAAAATTCTGAAATGTGACCCTGGACCACAAAGTCATAAGGGTCTTTTTTTTATTATTGAGATTTGTGCATCATATGAAAGCTGAATAAATAAGTTTTCCATTGATGTATGGTTTGTTAAGACAGGACAATATTTGGCCGAGATACAACTATTTGAAAATCTGGAATCTGAGGGTGCAAAACAATCAAAATATTGAGAAAATCGCCTTTAAAGTTGTCCAAATTAAGTTCTCAGCAACACATATTACTAATCAAAAATTAAGTTTTGATATGCTTACAGTAGGACATTTACAAAATATCTTCATGGAACATGATCTTTACTTAATATCCCAATGATTTTTGGCATAAAAGAAAAATCAATCATTTTGACCCATACAATGTATTGTTGGCTACTGCTACAAATATACCCGTGCTACTTATGACTGGTTTTGTCGTCCAGGGTCACAGATGTGTTTTAATTGTCATGAAAATGTCACAGTGCAAAAAGTCTTAGACAAATAGTTAGCTCAAAAATGAAAATTTGCTATAAACTTAGATGAGTTTGTTTCTTCATCAGAAGAGATTTGGATAAATGTGTTACATCACTTGCTCAGCAATGGATCTTCTGCAGTGAATGGGTGCCGTCAGAATGAGAGTCCAAACAGCTGATAAAAACATCACAATAATGTAAAGTGAAAAGCTGTGTGTTTGAAAGAAACAAATCCATCATTGATGCGTTTTTTAACTTTAACCCATCACTTCTGTCCATAATCCATAATAATGCTTCCTCCAGTAAAAAAGTTCATCCCGTTTTCCTCTCACATTAAAATACATAGACATATTCTTTTACAACTGTTTTGGACTGTTTTCACTTGTAAATGGTGCTTGATCTGTGCATGTTTCTCTCCTGATTCAGATTAGATGACTTCTTCTCTGGAGAAAGCAATATTATGGATATATGACACGTATTTTAGCCAGAAGCAATGGTTAAAAACTTTTAGGATTTTTGTGAAAACAAATGATTACTGTGATGTTTTCATCAGCTGTTTGATCTCTCATTCTGGTGGCACCCATTCACTACAGAGGATCCATTGGTTTCTAATGAAGGAACAAACTCATCTACACCTTGGATGGCCTGAGGGTGTTAGTTTTTGGGGATGAACTATTCCTTTAATGATCCTAAAAATAAGCTTACGCTTCTTTAAATTTGATTTTTGGGTGACAATTTTGTGGTTGTTAATGCCTATATAAACGTTTGAATAAATATAAAATATTATTATTATATGTGGAAAAAGTGTCAAGCAATTATGGGTAACTAAGTTTACGAAGAGTTACTGAAGCCTCACTCACCCCGACACAAGAAACAAACCTGCAGCACAAACAACATTTGCATCATTATTTTTATTCACTATTATTGTTCTTTTATACTTTATTATTTGTTTCTTTTTTTTTTTCGGTGGACATCCTGTAAAATCAATCCTGAAGCCCTTAATTGGGTTTGTTGTACATCGTCATAACTGAACAGAAAGAGGACTGGAGCAGAATGGACCCCTTTAATCTGTCAATCAGCCTTACATCTTAAAAAGTGATTTAGGTTTTTTTTTTCATTGTCTCACAAAGTGTACCTCACAGTATTTACACATACAGTGGACAACGTCCGCTCAAAATTACACCAGAATAGAAAGATTCTGCTCTTTTATAGATTTTCTTTTCTCTCTTTTTCCGATTCAGTCAAAATTTGAGGAGTAAATCCTCTTTTAATATTTTCGTGCTCAGTTTAAGTTGCGCTGGATGTAAAATTATTCTTTCTGCACATAAAACTCTTTTCGATAAATACCTCGCAGGAAACAACTGTACAATCGTACACAGTGTTTGACTTTGATATATTTTTGGAGCATGTTAGTAAAACTAAAAATATAAGAAAGCAAATCAAACTATAATTTATCAAAAACCCAAAGTAACAAATTCATGCATATTTAATGTTACAATATATATATACTTTTTTGTCCTCCAGAACATGATGCATGATGGGATACACTAAGCCTCGAATACAGCTCCGGAGTGTGGGTTTAGTGTGCGTTAAGGGCACTGCACTCTGGCGTTTTTAAGACCTGGGACAGTCTTGCGCACTTACTTCCTGTCGCGCGCACGCGCTCTCAAGTGGCTAAGACCGCAAGTGTGGGTATTTGGACAAAGCATGTATTTCTTAACACACTTCACACTGATAACACACTGATAAGCTACTACTAAATATTGTAGAAACCTAATTTGCTGTAAAGTTGCTTTGCAACGATTTGTATCGTGAAAAGCGCTACACAAATACACTTGAATTTAATTGAATTGAACTTCAGTATACTTTTAAAATGTGCACTTTGTAATAATGTCAAACATTTTAAATCATTGTTTTAATCATTGTTGTGGTTCAACTGTAATATGTGTAACTTCACCAGCTGTGATGCACCAAATTTGAATTATGCACATATGGCTTTAAAACATATTCCTTAATAATAAGTACACAAGTAAAATGTTAAGTTACTTTTCTGCTGTTTTTTTGTCATTTTCATCATTCACTGTCATTGTATGTAAAAGAGCAGCATGAGCATTCTGCTAAACATCTCTTTTTATGTTCCACGGAAGAAAGAAAGTCATACAGGTTTGGAATGACATGAGCAAATGAGCACATTTTCAGATGAACTATCCCTTTCATGGATGTTAAGGAATTCTTGCTGTTTGTCAGGGAAGAGAGGAGCGGGGAGATCTGTTTCCAGTGTTTCCATGTCAAACATGTGCTTGACGGCTGATCCCGTAGTCCGTTGTGTGTGAACAAACGTAACGATGGTGTATGTGTGTGTGTGTCTACATACTCATATGTTCAGTGCAAACACATTTATACCAACCTTGTAAAATCCCCTTTGACCTTTACGCTTTTGACATTGATAAATCTAGCAGGATGGCAGCATGTAGCCCTTTCCTCTGGGCCTCATCTGAGTTTCCTGTTTCAACAAGCATTTTTGAGGGCACTCAGATCGATCGACAGGCGGGCCCCGTCATTTGCCAAGGGTTTTTTCCATATGTCTCGCCCGCCGCCCCTCTCCCCCGTCCCCTCGTCCTAGCACAGTCCAATGTACTTGAGATTGTTTTGGATGATCACGTCCGTCACCGCGTCAAACACAAACTGGATGTTGCTGGTGTCAGTGGCGCAAGTGAAGTGCGAGTAGATTTCCTTGGTCTCCTTGTTGCGGTTGAGGTCCTCAAACTGCCTTTGCACGTACACAGCCGCCTCCTCGTAGGTGTTTTGCCCCTTGTAGTCGGAGAAACAGACCGTCAGTGGAATACGCTTGATCTTCTCGGCCAGCAGGTCCTTCTTGTTGAGGAATAGGATGAGGGAGGTATTGGTGAACCAGTTGTTGTTGCAGATGGAATCGAACAAACGCAGGCTCTCCGCCATACGGCTCTGTGAGGAAACCAAAGACAAGAAATGGTTAGCTGAAGTGCTAACAAAAGGGATCTGGCTCCCTTGAGGGGAAAACCTCTGGAGTTGATGAAACCAGTGGCCTTTAACCTCAAAGAGAGCAAACAGGGTAACGTATTAAATTCCCAGAGACACTCTAGATCTAGACGATGGGCTGGAGACAACAAATCACTACAAGCTGGGACATTCATTATTGTGGCAACAGTTGACAATGTGCTTTAGCTCCCACAAACTCACCATTTACTTTTGTGTACTCAGGGTTATGAATTTGAACAAGCCTCTAAACCTAAGAATTAAAATTCTCATCTCGCACTGTTTGTGCTACATGAACGATACCTCGGATTGTGTGGCTTGTTGAGGGAAAAGTGTGCTATTACTTTCAGAGCCATCAGAATTACAATTTTCCCTCGGCAGGCAATAAAATGGGCCAAAAATAGTTTACATGTTACATCACAAATCCAGAAATGTACATAAACCCGGCCCCCGAGAATATGCAACAAAGTGGGCGGGGCCATGTTGCACAATCTTCACTAATATTCTCTGGGTCTCATTCAGGCTCAAATTGATAAGCAATATTGACGACGCCATTGTTTACAATACAACTGGAGGCGAGGCATTCTGAGGCGAGACGTTTAGACACGCACTGGCGGTTTAGCTTATCACAACATACTGAGCCAGCTAACCAATCTGAGCCCAATGCGTATTTCTGAGGGAGGGGCTTCATAAAAACAGGAAATCATCAGAGCGTTCATCGGAGAAGGGACAGAGCGGTGTAGAATAAAGGTAAGCTATGTGAAAAATAATGCCTTTTTTTTTTTTAAACAAAGCATTAACACATGTTAGACTGCACACCATAAACACAATCAAGCCAGTCAAAACCAGTCAACCACCCCTTTAAATACACTAAATTACAACTTCATCCTGACAAATGTGTAATTACAAATATATTTAAAAACATTATATTCAAATTTCAATAGAAATGACATTAAAGAATATTTGTTTATCGTAAAACTTAATACATGTGGCAGTACATTTTAACCATATTTCAAAGACAATAGAAGTTGAAGTTACATATAAAATACACTTAAGTCAATACTTAAGTGGGTCAAAAAAGTTTAGCCAATTGCATATAAATTTGAACTATAATAAATTTGCATTCAAATGCAATTAACATGCAATTAAGTGTCCGGAAATGATGCATTCCGTTTTCACTCAAGCACTTTCTTTTACAGTATTTGTTTTTTTATTATTAAATAAGGACTCTTTTGAAAATTATGTACTTATTTTTATTCAGTGTTTCAAAGCCTTTTTTCCATTCTAACAGTGTTTTGGCATAATACTTTGACTATAATTTGAACGATGACACATATCCTAATATACCTTATCTAAAATGCAGGATGATTAGCTGACCAGAGAACAGTCTTTCTGTAAACACTGAGTATGGCTCAATCATCAGTCAATATTTAGTTAGATAAACCAGGCCATAACAGGACCCATTGCAAATAATTGTCCCTTTCTGCAAAGACTAAATGGCATAATAACCTTCTAAACATGAAAAAATTTAAAAATAAGATTAAAAGCCGAACATGAAAAAAAATCTCTAAGAGAAACAACAAGCAAAAGCAGCTCACAGAATCATGTCGATTTCAGCAAGCATCATATGACCAAGGGAGGTTATTAACCTCTATTTCTCTAGCCCCGCTGAGTTCCCTATCTAATTCAATTAGTCACCTGCCCATGTTCAATTACCTTGCTGTGTTTGCAGGTAATGCCCATAAAACAAAGGCAGAGGACAGGATGTAAATAACACCCGTGAAATGCGCACAACCATTTTGCTGGCAACATCAGCTGAGCCTTTTACGATACCATCATCTGTCCAAGTAATGCATTTGAATCCCCAAAAAAGCGCTTTCTGCAAATATTTCAACGGTTATAGTGTTTACTAAACATAATTTACTACATAATCTAGTTTAGCTGCATAGGTAAACCTATAAGACACATCAAGACACAGGATATATACATGACAAGCACGAAGCAGTTATTGATTATTCGATATATAGTGTGCAGCGTTTACCACATTTCGTGTAAGTGGTTTGTGTGCTCCCCTCCCACAGCGTGAGCTGCAATGGCTGCAGGCACGTGGTTGGGACAAGCAGCTTGTGACCGAAGGAGGAATCTGATATGAAGACTGGGCCGCTGTTTGAAAGGTTACACAAAACATCATCGTGCTTTAAAGCAAATCACAAGATCATCTATGAGAGTGAGAGTGGGTTTCACAGAGACATGAATAAAATCAGTGCAGTATGTGAAAATGATGAAGGAAGAGTTGGGAAGACCTCATCACTGAGGCTCTTTCAGAATTTTAGTCTCCTTCTTTTGCCTTAGTGCAGCACCAAGGTTATTCCTGCTGGTCCTGGAGCAATATTCCCATCGACCAATCAGATGCATGGGTTAGGTTTAAGATTTAAGGATTGAGGTTGAAACCCAGGGGTTTTTAAAATTTATGTCAAGGATCATCAAATATGACAATTTCCTTGTGATGGACCGCTTTCCTAAAACATAAAGACAGCTACATATTTTCATGTATAAATACTCATTTATAAGACACACTGAATAAAAATGGTGTTGAAACACTGATTTCTAGTAAAAACAAAACAAAAAATCTAGTAAATTTCAGAAATATTTACAAAGAAACAGCAACTACTGTAAAATATTGAACAAAATACATTTTGAATAAATTATTTGGTAACACTTTACTTAAAGCCTTTATGTATAATGCATTATAAAAGCAGTTTTAATGCATTAAATATGCCTTGTAATGCACCTTATAATGCATTGTACACTCTCATGAGTAATTGTAACCACAGTTAATACATTGTAAGATTTATCAATTCATTGTTACACAATGCATTATAAATTCGGTTATAATAATTTCCGATAAGATATAATGTATTACAATGCACATTATAAATAATTGTAATGCATTATACCTTTTGATAACCCATATGCATTATGGCTTTGTAAAGTGTTACCAAATATTAAAGGGGTCATATGACGATGCAAAAAATAACACTTTTTTGCGTATTTGGTATAATGCAATGTGTTTCCACGGTTTAAGGTTAAAAAAACATTATTTCCCACATACTGTGCATTATTGTTGCTCCTCTCTGCCCCGCCTTTCTGAAACACATCAATTTTTACAAAGCTCATTGTTCAGAAAAGCGCGGTGTGCTCTGATTGGCCAGCTATCCAGTGCATTATGATTGGCCAAATACCTTAAGTGTGTGACGGAAATGTTACGCCCCTTACCATATTTGGAAACACACAGCGTCTCCACGACATGGCGGCGGCGGCAACAATACTACAGCGAGAATAAAAGTTACACCTTCTTTCTTTGTGTAAAACATTTGGGCGGTGTTATGCAAATCATCCAACACAGTGACATAGATATGTGGGGGCATGTTTAAACGAGGCGTTTTAGGAAGGCATGGATGAGTCTTAACTTTTATAAAGAATATCTCTTTGGGTTTGAGACTTTAGTCTTTGCAACTTTACGGATCTTATACATGCACGAACAGCTTGTAACACTCCAAACACAAAGGAAAACTTGAAATGCACATATGCTAATAGCACACTGTTGGGGAATATGTGCTGTTTTATATATATCTTATAATATGAGTAATCCTCCATGACATTCAAATGTAATCTTTGAAAAATGGCGCACACATTTAATTATTTGGGGAAAAACTCTCTCATAAACACACAAACATTTATCCATAATGACAGCTGCCAGATTGCGAGAGGCTGCGATTTTCGCTGTGACTCGAGTATGCACTCATATTCCTACAGAGAGAGGCCCTCCAATGGCCTTGAATTGGACTTTTTGAAATCAGGTCACACCATTAGCCAAACGTCCCTGCAGATCTTAAGGTGTCCATTAACCAATCGCACAGCTCAGGGGACGGGGTAGAAATGCTTTGTTGAAGCTCAGGGTGTTTCCAACTACAGCCTTCTCCAGAGCTAAGTGTGGGAGAGATAGACGGAGATGAGAGAGAGAAAAAGAAAGAGAAAAGGAGGCAGGAAGCCAGTGGGAGGGGGTGCCCCGCTGAGACACACCGCACAGTGTGACGCCTGGCCTCTCTCTGCGCACGCCAGACACAAGCCTTCATTAGGCTTAAATATTAATAAGGAGGTTCAACAGTGTATTAATGCTTTGTTTCCTGTAAATAAGAACTGTTGGATTGAGACGTCTCGCTCTAGAAAATCCATTTCATTGAAGCAGAGTGAAAATGACTCTTATCTAGTCTTCTAATAGCCCCAGCAGCAATATGAGAGAGCTGTAAAGTACATTTACACCATACCTGCTCATAATTGCCATGCTTTGTGTCTCACACTTGTCTCTCGTTCTCTTTATTCCGCCCTGCTTACATTTCCTTTGTTGAAGATAAGAACATTATACAAAGATTATCTGTATTTGAACTTAGAAACTCTCCTAGTTATTGCTTCTTTTCATTAAGTTATTATAGGAACTGCAACCCAGGCTCATTAGAAAAACGTGGCTGGCACAACATTTCTGCAAAATGATATTACATTGCTTGTTGTATGCTTTGCAACTATTTCATAGCGAAATGTCCAGTGAGTGGAGCTAAACACCCATTCAGTTTTATTCAAAACAGGTGAACGAGAATCTATCAATGTTTTATTACTTTGGTTGTTGTATGCATCACAGCAGTCTGGAAATTAAATTTTAGTGAGTGGCACAAAAAGTTAATTCTCTAACACGTTTGAAAATAACGTACCACCTACACTAAACCTAACCAATAGTGTTAACAAATGAAACACAAGATAAAAACCCACTTGCAGAAGCAACCATGCCATTTTAGCTTAAGTCTTTGAAATCTTTTATTGTGACTTGTTTCATGGGACTTGAGTGCTTCGCTTTGCAAGTGCAATGCTGTACCAGGTGAGCTGACGAGCAAGTT